GAGAATACTAAACAAAATGCCCATGTCGAAATTCCGAAAGATATCTAATGAAAAAAATTGCAAAAATTCAGGTCCGTTGTTTTGCAGAAACCTGTAGTAAATTTCCGTGTCTCACGTAACATCACACGCGAGAATTTCTTCTGCGTTTTTCTACAGAAACAAAAGTTTTTGCGATAAAATGCAAGAAAATATCAGCGATTTTCATGCATAAAATATTATTGTCTGTAATTATACCAATAAAGCTTAATGTGTTTTTTAGGCAATCTTTGGACAGGTTCATCGAATCCGCCCCCAAGGAAGCCTCGCGGCTTACCCCCATATCTGCGACAGCAGATCCCGATCTGCTGTCCGCAGTCTCCTCCCAGCTAAGAGGAATCACTTAGAAAAATCTCTAAGTAAATTTTCAATGGAGAAAGCCCATTTAGATAAATACAAGGTTGCACATATTCCCTTTTTTCAAATTATGTACATCGCAATGAGTCATCGTTTCTTCTGCATTGTTAAACCAAAACGTTTTTTTACAAAAAATTGTATTGAAAAAACATCTGCAGTATGATCCAAAAAAAGATTCTGCGAAAAAAGACAAAAAATGCCTTAGTTTTGTTGACTTTTGAAGAATACCGCGCAAGAAAAAGCATGCGTTTTCTGGTATTGCGTTAGTGTGGCCAAAAAAGTGCCAAAAAACACACATTTCTGGAGAAATTGTGAAAAACATTTGACATGGGTGACGTATATGGCTTACTAAAATAGCGACTTTCAATTGTTTCGTAACTTTTTCGGTCCTATGACACTGTTTGAAACTTCGAAAAACGTTTTTACTCAACTATCACTGAAAGATGCATGAGTTGAAACAGAAATTTGATGCCGATTTCGAAAATAATTGGGTCTTGATGTAGAAAATTGGGTTTTTGTATAGATGACTTTGGTAGGCTTATTGAAGAGATGTCATTCTAGTACCCCATGATGAGTTCCTATACTCTTCAAACCCAGCTAGCGAGCATGCTAGCTTTCTAAATATTTAATTCTGAATATGTTTTACAAGCTAGTTTCCGTTGCGAAAATTTGTCTTAACGTCGAAAAATTCTGCAAACCATATGTTATATTGCGTAATTTTTTTGTTAGTTTTAACTGGAATATCGGACGAAGCTGACTTGAACGGATCTGAATAAAATAATTACTCGTCCAAATTTGTATGAGCATAACAAACAGGCTATAAAGGGTGACCTGCTGCTGAGAAACACTCACAAGAAAAACCCATGTTATCAAATGCGGATTCCGAGTACATCTTTTTCTCAGAAAAAACAGACAGTTCAGTTGGAATCCTTTCATCTTTAGACTACAGAAGGCAATGCTCATGACGGAACAGTCCCATGTACCCAACGCCGTTTGCGTTCATATTTTGTCCGATCTATCTCTCTATTAGATTTTTTGACATCTTTCATGTATTCCCGATCTAGATCAACAGCAACCATAACAAGCAGTACGACATCGACGTAAGATTCAAAAACACAACCTTCTTTTTGGTGTTAGTCTCTTTTTCTTAGTTTTTATTTGTAATATATTTTTAATTTTAGTTTAAATACCTTTGTACAACTCTAAACATTGCTGATTTTGTGGAAAAATGCTTTTTTTATACAGGTATTTCTTGATGTTAGGGAGTCCAAAACAGCGATGCTGCCAGGTTCTCTGTCATTTAAAATCTTATTATGAAGATCCTGTTTTTATTTTACAGGGTTACCTAGATGATAGTTAAAAACCAAAGAAGATGAACAGTTATGGCCAGTCTGTAGTACTTTTCAAGCTTCTGTCTTATACAAAAGCAATTTCAGACACTCAAACATGTACTTCGTCGTTCTCTAAAGAAAACTTTTGCTTCTGCTAAAGAACAATATATCCAATAATGAGTTCCTTATAAAACAAGAGAATATTTTCTTGAGAAAAAGAACATCGAGACCACTAACTATGTGGACTCTTTAAATTTTTTTCGTTTCCTTGCGGATTGTCTTAAAAATTAATCTACTCCTAAATTTACTTGTAAAGCGCAGTGTTGTAATATGTGCATAATATCGACTTCTTTCGTAATTTTTCCATAACAAAAGGTAACTTAACTGCGAGGAAATATGTGTAGTGGACAATGCTTGTAGTACAAAAACAGAGTAATGCTGTCCGTATTGAGAATGTATGGACTTTTGCTCCTTATTAGCTTGTCTTGTAAAAACCATATTATTATGTTATTAAAAAATATATATTTACCTACTATACAATAAAAACGGGAAAAAGACTGTAGTACTTTGCGTTCTAGTAGAAAAAATGATAAACGATAAAATGTTACACTTTGATGATGAAATTGTTCGCTCAAAGGTAAAACGAGAATGTAAAATGATGTTTATTTAACGGTACAGCGTTAAATAAACATCATTTTACATTCTCATTTTACCTTTGAGCGAACAATTTCATTATAAAGTAGTCTATATTCTCATATTAAAAACTTTGGTCGATATGTATAGTCTGCGTTATTATCGTTATATTAACCATCCTAATGATGAAATAATCCGTGAAATATATTTATATGATTTATTTACTCCAATACCACCAATGTATCCAACAGTCACTGCTTTACTCGAAAATGGTAATATAGAAAGATACCAGCAACAACAGGTGCTTCGGGATGATACAGAAAAGAGTACCACCTATACTATTTTCACTTTTTTGACGTCGAATTACGATTGATATTTTATTTCTGCAGTACGTTTCATTCGAAAGAGTGTCAAAATCTGAATAAAACGGCTATCAATGGGACGTTTTTGAGCTAACGCGAGTTAATATACGTTAATCTGTACATGCGACGCGTTTTTACTAAAAATAAACACGTTTTGACGCATTAGTGTATTGTTAAGTCATTTAAAAGTTTTGATAATACGCTAACGCCTCGAAATGCGTCAGCAAGTGACCATTTTAACGTGTCATCTTTTTTAGGCCGCATCAAAACGCGTTCTTTCACTCTAAATGTTCTAGAAGCTTACGGCGGGTCGCGTAAGCATATTGAAAGTAATATATTGACTCGAACCAGAGATCGTCAGAGCATAACTACTCTATTACCCTGCCCTAGCATGCTCCGGCAGCACAGGGCGTAAAGTTGCTCTGCAGAGCTCTCCGACTCGAATTCAGATTTCCTGTTATATTTTTAAGTATCCGCTGGACATATATACGGGCCTCGCAGCGGCCTTCATAAGAAATTAGGATCAGAACAGGATTTCCAGCAAAAGAAATCAGGAATTTTATCAGGAAATCAGGATTGACAGAGGTTTACCGAAAGACGTACATCTACACCTCCAACAGTTTCATGTGACTTACAGCAGATCAATATGCAAAGCCAAGCTATCGAGAAAGTCACGATAGGCCAGTGGTTCGATCGCAATTCTGACAATGTATGCGGTAAATATCGATAAATAAAAAGAACAATGAACAAACGAGAAATGAATGTGTCTATACGAAAAAATCGTAAAAGTGTATATATGAAAATCTACTGCGATTCGTTGATAGCCATTCAACAAGGAGAGTTGATGGTTCAGCGGACTATCAGCTTGTAGCCCTAACTTCTGTTTGATGATTCTTTTTCCTTGTACAATAATGGCATCTAATCTTGTATTAAAAAAATGACTTTTTCCCATATCTTCACCAACAATTTTAATCCATAAAGAACAATAGCTGCTCTACAAACAAGACAAGCAACGCGGTCACTGAAAAACCAGTGTCATCGTCGATTCAACATGGAATTTCTAAAACGCCTCTACCTAGACTAAACTGGAATCTTCAAGGGAAATGACCTAGTTCGAAAAGCAACAAAAATCAGGAAAATCAGGACGACTTAAAAATATCACAAAAAAATCAGGAAATCAGGACCGCTGCGAGACCTGTATATAGAAAATTGTTTACTAAAGATATGACGAAGTAAGTACTGCATGTATTATGATTGTTTAGCTCTATCTGCTATGTCGAGGGTTACGCTAAAGTCAAATTTGACAAAGTTCATGTCTGATTTCTTATTGGCAACTTACATTTTTCTGTCATTTTGCATCATACCAAGGTGCCACTAACAAAGTACTTCCTAGAATAAATTTTACCGTTTCTTAAAATTAAAATGGTCTCATTTAGTAACAGTTTGGAACTGGGTAAACTTATTCTCTTGCGTATGTGATCTCTCCATTGCTCTTAGTGCACTGCACTTTATCAGATGACAGTAATATATATATATTTCACATTATTGTTGAGTTTGGAATATGAAGTCCACAAATCATATGCACAACTCTGGTTTCATAACTAACGTACGACAGCCTATAAGAATCGTGAATGGAACGTATAACTTACGAAATGAAGAAGCAAACTCTGAATCTTTTCTATGAGTGCAGATGATTAAAACATATTAACATTATTACGGTGTGTTTTCGATCACCTGTGGTTCAGATTGTCATATGTTTGCTTCCTGGTTCTAGGTAATGCGGTTCGAATCACAATACAACCAATCTAAGTCTCTTAGTTTATTTCTATGTTAATTCGTAAAATACTTAGACGCTAATTTGATCTCAGTGCTCGTCAGTCGCTACTTGAATTTATTTTTTAATTTTTGTAAATTTAAGAAAGCTAACGCGTTTTATCGCATCCATTTTTACTGCTACTAAACGCATTAATTTCTAATGCATTCAAAGGCATCAAATGATGCAAGATTCATCCAGCTAAACCTCACCACACACCACGTGTTAGAAATTAATGCACATTAACGCATTTTTTTAGCAGAAAACTCTCGGCTGGACTCATTTAAATTCTCCGAGATCTCAGATTTCGATAGTGGAGAACATTTTCTAAAATCGCATCCTTTCAGATAACGTTTTTCAATAAAATGGCACTTTAAACACATTTTTTGGAAGCCAAATGGTTGACTCGTAGCTGATATAATAGTTTTGATCGGCTATTGTGTGTTCTGTGCTATTTATTAGCAGAATATGCGTAAAGCCTCAGAACCACCCACATTACAGAGAAAAAAATACTTTATCAAACGAAATAAAATCAAAAATATTTGGTTGAGCGCGCTGCAGCATGTAGGTCTTCTAAGATACCTGGAACTCCCGAGACCTTTTTCGTGGGAATGCGAGATAATAACTTGGGTTTTTAGTTGAATCTTTTTAATTCGATATGTGTGGAATCACAAAATGGTAGTTGGGATCGAACAAAATTGGGAAAACACACGTAAAAATAATGTAGGCAAGACAAAAAAATTGAAAAAACACCATAGTTGTTTAAAAAGTAAACATGACTTTCAGCGGAGTGTTTTGCATGATCAGAGAAAATAATTACATTTTAGATAGACCAAATGATGAGGAATCAGATGAACATATTAGATTTTAATTTCGAAGACATTTGAATCGTGAAAAATGCATTTCAACTTGATGTATTTTCACGTTTTCAGCATCTTAAAACAAGCCGAATATGTCACCGAAGCACCTACTTATATCTTTTTTTTTAAACATTTTTATTCATGAACTAATAGTTAAAAAAGTATAACAACAAGAAAACTAATACATATACGGCAAATCGGGATACATACTCCATTCTATGCCGGATTCTACATAAATACTATAAATGAAATGAGTATATAGAGAAGAGAGGTAAGAGCGAGGGAAATGGGAATCGAATTCTAATATCCGCTCTATCCATGTGACATTCTACTTATGGAGGCTTAGTACATCACGACTGATTAAATCTGCCGGTGGTATCAATAAACAGGAGGATGGCTGAATACACTCGTATTAGATCCTGTCTAAGCAGTACGCGGATAGATTCATGTTTCAAAAGTATATGATCCAACGTAATATGATTATCTTTAAGGACACTATGCAGCTCTTCAAACATTCCTTATATCTACTTCGTATGTTAAAAGCATCCAGTTTATCGCTTAAATTGTCTTTTAAAGAATTCACAGCTCCTTCGAACCTTACAAATCCAATAACATCGAGTCCCAACCGACCCCGTACTGGGATTTTAAAATCGTTTTAAATAATATATTCCTACTCAATCAAACGTTCTTTCGAAGAAGGTATGTCCCGCAGTGAACCTTGATGTAAAGTTTGCTACAGTGCCGAAAGAACTGTACGTAGAATTCAGTTTCATATTTAATTCACATAGTTTTGTTCCAAAAAAACCTTTTCATGAAAAGAAGACTTATTTTTTCATTTTGGATCATCGTAGTGTTTGCTTGTCGACAACGATTAAAAGTTCAACGTTACCATTGATTGACCTTGTTCCGACAAACCTATGGGGAAATCGACTAAATACGAGCGAATCGCCATATGAAAAGTAGACTGACTAAACTAAGCGATTCTGCGGTTCACCGTTCTGAAAACTATTTGAAGTTCGTGTATTTTTTATCGTGCAGATTATCAATACATTGAAATCAATGGGATAAGATATCTAGACGGTTATTCAATCAAAGAAAAATACAATCTAGAATTTTGGAGTAACTATCAGTGTATTAATATTAACCGTTCTGTTGAACAATACGTCTATTGCATTTACAATTATTCTAATATATTTAGAAACTATAAATGATTTAGTTACATGGAATTCAAAACTTGGAAAATTTCGTAAATTATCTTATACACTAGATTCATGGATAATTGAAAATGGATATCAAGTATGTTTAAAACTGTGGTCTGAAATAATTATCTATTTTATTATTGGTTTTGATAGCAGTTTATGTCTTCGAAGGTATTCACCATATAAAATGTTATTTTCTACTGAATATCAACAAATAATAAAAGGAGTAAAAGAAATATTTAAGTGGTTAAACAATGAAGATTATAAAAATCTTCTTATTAAGTACAAAACACATGTTGATGTCTACGAATTTCTTATGAAAATATTAAAATTAAATCCATTTTTTAATAATCAAACAAATACTCTTAAGTTTTTTACACGAGCATTATTAATTCAACAGCACATTCATAAAACGCACAACCTATTTAAAACAACAACGAATTATATAAAATCGGTTAGCGAAAAAGCTTTAATTGATTTAACACCGGTTGTACATTTAACACGTTGTCGGCCATCATATTGTAATGATACATTAAATGCAATTTCAGAACGTTATGAAGATCGAATGGGTATACTGAATGAAAAAATTTGCTGTGATCTTGTTCCAAAATGGTCACGACAAGGAGATAGGAACATCAACAGACGTTTAGATTTTCGGTATACATTTTCTCGTGCTGAAAGTTGTTTAGCAAACTTGAGGTCAGAATTAGAAATATCATTTATAGGCTTTATAAAATGTATGTATCACCATTATATAGCTGATTCAATGATGATTGATTCATATATATTTAAAACATTGTTAGATTGGTATATTGAAAGTACGCTAATCGATAGCTGGAAACAAACGGACAATTTCATAAACGATTGTTAATGAACATTATGAGAAATTTCTTTTGTTTACAATACGACAATTTCAACAAAATAAATGTGAACATTATTCGATAAGAAATCAGAATATAAATGTATTGGAACATATATCTCATGATTCACGGCAATGCTGTTTGAACATGTTAGAAAAAATGAGATTAGAAAAATGGCTTTATATTTGTAATTGTTCTCAAATTATTTTTGCCAATTGAATTATGTGTAGTAAAAATGTATTTTATATAAATCGTTCACATTTATTTGATATATCTATGTATATATTTGGACATGATGAGTATCTACAAGAATATCATCATAAATCAGAATATTTAAGTGTTGTATGTAATCTATTTACACATTTATCTTCGATTCAATTTGAATTCATACCATGGCCAAAATGGATGAAGCTTTTCTCATATTCAGAGATATCTGATGACGACGTTATATATTATTTAAATAGTCAGTTTAAATTAGATTATTTTAAATTTAATACACTCTCCTTGACGATGATACCAAATACTACAATTTCATTTCTGAAAAAAATTATTTGTTATTTAATAATAGGATGGTTAGCTCAAGCAAATGCTTTTATCTATCATTTTTATCATACTCTCATATTAGGAAAACGAAAAATAGACAGCAGCTAACAGATGATAAATATAATTGGAACATATTATTCGATCAGCAATCACAGTAGTTTTTTTACCCTCTCTCGTATCTATAGCGTTAGCTGTAATACAATCAGCGTCAGCCAGGCATGCACTGGTTCAATATCAAATTCGCAATATATTCATCTTACTGAGCGGACATGTTTCATAGTTTCTCTTCAGCCTTGAATTTTATTGTCGCCACTATTCCTTTGTCTCCACACACTTTTTTGTTCAACTCTACTAACTTTATCGTTTATTCCGTGTTCTATTGCACTCTGTATCTTATATTCTATTATTATTATCTACAGATCAATCTTGTAGATTTTCAATATCAATAAAAGTTTGGAAAAATTAATTCATAAACACCTGATTTCGTTCCTGACATCTAGTAACTTTTTCTCATCGAGTGAATTTCGTTTCCCAACAAATTGTTCTACAATCGGCCGACTACTTTAACTACTCACAGTATATATCAGCACTTAAGTAACCGACGCAAAATTATTGCCATTGGGTTCAATTCCGAGAAAGCGTTTGATGGTATGTCTCATAATATCTTGCTAACGAAACTCTCATCCGCCGGTATTTCAGGCCTTTTTCGACTGATTCAAATTCTGTCTTACAGGAAAGACACAAAAAGTTGTAGTAGGTGAGGTTGCTTCTCAATCTGTTTTTGTTAGTTCCGGACGTTATGATCTGCCATTCCTCGCAGCTCATAAGACTATGTTCTCCATATTCTTTTCCTTTCCTCCCGTCCGTTTCCTTCATTGTGTTCTAACACCATTCTTGCGTAATTCTGTTCTTGCGCAACACTTGTGTCATCCTGTGGCTTTTCCAACTCTTTCTGTTATTGCGCAATTCCTGCGCAACTCTTACATAACTCTTGTTCAACTTGTGTACTATATATGGCCGTTCACTTTCTTAAATAAACATTGGAGTGAGAATTGGTTCTCACAGCAACTTCACTTCTACCATTAGAGTTAGCCACTAGAGGATCCATATCCTCACACCGGAATTCCTCAAGGGTCAATGTTAGACTATTGACATATAGCTATTGACTATTGACACATAGCTTCCACTATACCCAATACTTATAAACCTATGTGTTTACGACAGACGAAGAAATTCGCATTTTAATGCTAATCTTCTCCCTCTGCTTTTTATTGATAAAAAGTTCAAAAATCAGTTGGAGCATACATAACACACACGACGATCGTCATCCAGCCTATTGATCAACAACTGCATTTCCACCAATCTTTCGAAGAGCTTCGCCTGCATGCATTCTGACCAACACGCCCTCATGGCGAAATTCAATCAACAACGCGCTAATCATGTCAAATAAACCTGCATTACCGCCGAGCACTTCACCCGTGTTCTCAAGAGCTTCAGCTGCATTCATTCTAACACCTTGATTAACTATTATTATTACGAGAAGTAAATACTATTTTGTATTCAGTGTATGGAAATTTTTACAACTTCGTATTTCTATTAGGCATTTCCTTAGCGGTTGGAATCTTACCCTTTTATTTCATAAAAAGTTCCATAATGCAAAATGCTTTATCCATTAGTTTTATAGTGTAAACTATAATGCTGCACTTGTTTACACTTTAAGTAAAACCTGATTAAATCAACTGAGTTGCTACGCAAGAGTTAGAGACGCAAGAAAAATTATAACCCCTCCCTATCCGCGACAAATATTATGTGACTCAAACTAACCGAAGTCATCATCTTCACTCATAATCTTCGTCTATTTGCACAATACTCAAACGTTATCAAAAACTTTAGACCTTT